TACATTTTTAGAGCCAAAAGAAAAAAAAAATCAAAAGGAGACTGGCAACTACTCAGGAACAAAAACTATGTCATTAACCTTTCAGAAAGTTCACCCTCCACAACAGGGATTCAAAAAAGTCCTGGAGTTTTCTCATTTAATAACTGATGGATTTGCAAAGATCTATAGAAGTTGGATTTAGAATGTAGTATCCAATACTTATCTACTTGACTCATAACAGTTCAAAATAGCACTGTAGCAGCAAGACAGAGGGTCACTGACCTCCTAAGGGGAGAGCAGTGATTGGTGGTTATGTAGGGACTGAACCCTTCTATAGAATTTGACCTCTAACCCCTTGTTTTGTTACCTCAAAATAGTACTGTACCCTTCTATGGGTTTGACCTTTTACTTTGCAGACTCAAACCCTTCTATGGTACCTAACAGATACATACCCTAACATACCCTATATAAGCTATGTTTGATGTACAGAGAGACAGAGGGGTCACTCTCCAAGCTACTGCAGAGCTTGTAATTGATGCTGAACACCACAAGAGTCAAGGCTCAACCAGTCAGAGGAAGAAAATCGACAGGTGCTCAACAGCATGTCATAACAGCCACTTACGAAAGAGGTAATTGGACATAAAATGGTAGTCCAGCTCTCATTAGTTTAGTGATAAGGAGTTTTGTGAGAAGTGCTCTATTAAATAGTTCACTCTATTTTTTTTTTCATTTTTTTTATCATCATCATCATCAGGGCCAGAGCCATGGCTTGCAAAGTATTAATAATATAATTTTATTTTATAGTGATACTCTAGTATCTATCTATCTAGTAATTATTATTTCTTTTACCAGTAGAGTTTACCTGCAATATATAACTAAATCTCTGTGCTGTTAGCAGATTTCTCACCATTCTCTCTACCTTTCTACCCTGCTATCTTTCAGGGACACATTTCTAAGTTTTGCTCCTTTGTTTTATCTTTCCAAAATTAAGAGTAGACTTTTCATTCCCTAACCCTGTCAAGGCAGTAAGAAAGTTGGAAAGAAGAGCATTATAAACACAAAAAAGAAAGCTGTGGTCCCCAGAGCAAGATGTGGTTCAAGAGGTCAAGCCACTCCTAAACAAATAATTTAAATCAAATCACAAAAAATCTCCGCTGGGAAATTTTCTCCTTTTGAAACAAAGAAGGCAGACAACTAAATGTGTACCACTACTTAGTTTACATCATAACGTCTGAGGGTACAGTTTCACTAAATTACATATTTGTGCTTAAGTGGCACAATTTACCCCAACAGAAAACAAGGTGTGTCTCTGTGTGCACATACATGAATGTGTGTAAAACATAAAGCTATAGTCAGCACAACAGGGTGATTGCTTGCATTATGATAGGTGCCAGGGTGAGCGCTTTAATTACACTCCACCAGTCCAAACAGTTTGCAGCCAGGAGCCTAATAAACTTGAGTGTCAATCTCAAACTCATTTAGGGGCGAGATGCTGCATCCCTGGTTACATTAATCAATTATACTGAGACTGAATGGAACACGACACCGTGATGGATTCTCCTCCACAGCTGATAAAGTTAGAAGAGTTTGATATGGTATAAATCTGATCACAGAGTGACAATGATTAACACTGTCCTAAACTTCCACCGAGGTGCACTTAAGCAAGGCACTTAAATCCAAAGCACTCTACTGGAAGTGTTCAATGATAAACCATGAAAGAATATCCAGCTTCAGGTTTTCAAGATACAAACAATGTCAAAACACACTGTCAAAGTACAAATATCCAAAACAAGCAGGGTTGAAAATCAAGACCATTACAGTCAATGTGAGTTTTACTTCAAGTTCACTCTCACTATGAAATGCATTTACTTCCTTTAGTAAGGTTTGTAAAATGATAAAATCTGTCTCATTGGGATAAATCACAAAGTGGGTTTGGGATATAGAGTTGCAACCAATACCCTGCAACTTGCACATAATACCATAGATTACCCTTTAATTTCCCCCAAAAGTATGTAGATGAGTATTCACACTTCTGACACCACCCTGCCTCCTTAAAATTATGTTTATATAGAAATGTAAATATAGAAATATAAACACATCTTGTCCCCTCTGATTTTTTCAAAAATCTAACCAAGACTGCAATCTTTCCCTTACCTTAACCAAGTGCTTTGTGTTGTCCAGTATGAACATTGGGGATTTTGCAGATATGAAAAAATTAGGGTGATATTACATTTCTTTCAAAATAGGTTTTCTGGTGCAAATTAGTAGTGGTATACCAAAATTATTTTTAAGTGATGGGGTTATCTAACAAATGCAAAACTGTGAAGTGAAAAACAGAACTGTTTCCTAAATAGCAGAGACTGCATTTTCTCCACAGAGAGAGCTGCACTCACCAAAAATAGAGTCAATGGGTTACAGTAAGTGATCTCAATTTTCATTTTGATTCTCACCACATGAGAAGAACAAGCTAGTGAATCCCAAACAGCACTGTACCGAGTAATGCTGTTCTGACCTTGACCTCTGTTCAACGTACAAGTACAAAGAGAATTTGAAATAGTATTTCCATATTTGGATTTATATAAAATGTTTGTTTTTTATTTGACTTATAAGTCCAGTACCTGAGAGTTTTTCATTTAATTGAGACAGCAAGAGAGTGAGACAACCACTTGAGTTTAATGCTCCAATATTATCTTGGAGGTGGCATCAATTGAGTCACCACTCTGAATGTTTCGAGGAACAAAAAGCAGAGGAGAGGCAGCTCATTTACAGAGAGACAGTGAGAGAGGGATAAGACTTACTTGAGTCAAGTATTTGTCTTTTTTTTTTAAAAAACCTGTCCTGCCTAGCAGCCTGGTATAGAGTATGATGAGCTGGATACCATATTGTGCCAGACAGATTTTACTTTAACAAGAGAGTATTAATATACTCAATTGTCTGTTTTATTATTTATTTAATTATGCATTGATTTGTCACTGGGCCAGACCGGGGGGCAGACATGGGGATGGGGGGCACAAACAGACAGCACAGAGAAAGGACAATACCTGCAAGAGAAGGGGGATGGAAGGTGGGGACAATAGGGAATAGAAGAGCGAAACATCAATTGCAGAAAGCAACAAAACCTGCAGTAGAACGGGGAGGGGGCTTGGGCGGAGAAAAACAAAAACAAACAAACAAATAATAATAATATAATAATAAAATAATAAAGACAACCAGCCGAACAGCAGCAATAAACAGCTGACATAGTAAGACAACTAAGAGAGAAATGAAAACAAGAAACAGTCAAACACAAATAAGCAACACAGCAGAGCCAGGAGAGCTGGAATAATAACAATTAATTTAAATAAGTAACTGAAAGAAAAGCATCAGGAATTCTACCAGGGACAACCTAAATTTGTTGTGTCTATGTGTGAGACTGTGTGTGTCTGTGTGCGTGTGGGTGAATGTGTCTGTATGTGTGCGCATAAGCCTGTTAAAGAATGTAGTTGTTAGTGAGTGGGACGCCACGACCGTGCCGCACTGACCCCAGCAACAGGCAGGCAAGAACCTTAATAGCCAATAGGGGTGGGAGAAAAAATTTAAATAAATAAATAAAAATATGACTCCCAGAGGCACTGCGACGCAAACGCGGAAGACCCTGGCCCAACAGACGCCCAAAAAAACGACCATCCAAATGCCAATTGACAACGTAATGGCGATGGAAGAGCAGCGCCCAGACAGACCGCGCTGCGCACACAACACAGACCAGTGCTCCCCCCACCACCGCGGACCGAACAACCAAAATGCCCAAACGCCCAAACGCCATGCAATCATCAACATCAAGTGATGAACCCAATCCCCACACTGCGCGAGCACGGAGACACCCAATGCCCCGCAGCCCCGTAGCCCCGTGTGTATCACGCGTGCGAGACTGGGCAAACGAGAGAGAGCGAGGGGCAGAACATGACGGCAAAAGCCAGCGGAGAAAAACACCAGCAGCAGGCCACCATGCACCCGTCAATAAAAGTCCGCCGACCCCACAATTGCTGGAAAAATTAAGGCCGGCCGCGCAAGCCAGCATCCCCCATGCAGAGCATGTCCCCAGGCCGCCACGCGACGCCAGCCAAACCAGCAACGAGGCAAAATCAACTAGCTCAGCTGCATGTCACCACCAATCCACCCACCTGTCAAGGGCCGAGAACTCCAGGCACAAGCCCAGAATAACCGGAGCACAGTCCTGCCCCACCCACACTGCACATCAAAACTAACTTTATACTTCAGTCTGCAGAGGGGTCCGACAACTGGCCGACAGAGAAATGGGGAAGCATGGATCTGAGGCCAACGAAGCAGTAGTATTTGTCTTGACAGCAGCATATTTTTGAAAGCTGGATGAATTTGCTAATTAAGTAAGTATCAGAGGGAGCATACTAAATGAAAAATAATAACAGTTCCCCCAATTCCAACTGAAAATGGCCAGCAAGCTCCTTGAGGTGTTATTTTGCAGATAGAAATACTTCATAGTAGCCTGAAGGCTATCAACAGCCCAGTCTTAATGGGTTTGTGCAAAATGGGTTTGTTGCCTGAATGCAAAGGAGAGCCTGGTGAATTCTGATCACTCTCTATTATCTTGTCTTGTCATTGTCAATCATCTGTCTCACTCCCCCCCCCCCCATTATCCACTTTCCACTGTATATCCATTATTCATTCCTTCTGAGATCGTACTCTTCTTTGTGTTCCCACTTTTTTTTCAAATGTTCTTTCACTTGAGATGGGTGACAAATTTATGAACATTTCCAATTAAATGTTCTCTTTTTATTTATTTATTTTTACTGCAGACTCGAGACTTCGTGCTGGCATGCTGTTCATGAATATGTCCCTTGTAGTCTTGTATTTTCTAGCAAACGCTGGCACTCGCACTGCCACATCTGTCATAGTGAGGCAGTACAACTTAACAGACTGTAGATGTGGGAGTGCTCCTGCCCACACACTCTGCGCCTGGCTTAGGGTTCAAGTCGGTGCCAGTTAAACATCAGCTGCTTGAGCCCTCACGGTGGCCTTAGCAGCCCGCTGTAAACCAGGCCAGATGGCATCATCCACCAGGGAACACATGGCACCTCATGACAGGTCCCTCCAAACGTCAGCATGCTCTCTGAATTATGGAGGCATGTGAAATATGGAGAGCTCTCTCTTAAAATTAACACTTCAGTGTTCTTAATGAGATCGGTATCTATGGAGGCTGTGGCAGTTGCCTCCGCCGGCATCCCAAGATGGCATTCTCCGAGCCATATTTTCCATCTCTATTGCATTTTGAAACTTTATCAGCGGCAGCAGGCCTCATCTGTGCTGCTGCGAGGGCACAATGTGATGCTATCAGAGGGCGCGTTAACTGCTGCGTTAAGCTTTAATGAAGAATAGATTGGGACATTAGGATGCAAAGCACATACCATCCGCTGCTGAGGGGAAAGACCGTAATAGGCCTGATAAGAGCTTTTTCTGCTGATCTCACACAAACATGGATGGTCTCCAGGGGTGTTTTGGCTTGGTTCAGTGTTTACAATGCCATTCATCACCGAGGCTAGTTTTTTTTTTTTTTTTGCTGAATGGGTGTCACCAACAGTTACATGCACATAAGCAGGTGTCCATTCACACATGCAACCGTGTGCACACACTCATTCACACAACCATACACTCCTCTGGAAGGAA